GGCGGTCAGAGCCCGTCCATGAGCGCCAGCAGGTCCTCGCCTTTGGCCGTGCTGGCCGGGCGCTGCTCCGCCACCTCCAGCTCCCCCAGGATGCGGGCCAGCTCCTCCTGCCGCCCCGGGTCCTGCGCGGAGAGAGACAGCCTCAGCCTGCGCCCCCGGCCCCCGCAGCCCCGGCGTGCCACAAGCGAGCGCAGGGGTACTGCTCCCCCCGTTAATCTGCCGACAACTGCCTCTCCTGGGCTGACGGTGCTCCCGCCTGTGTTCCTGACACCGGCTGGGATTCTCCCCTGTAAAAGTACCACAGTATTGCAGCCCTATTCAGAGATGCCCAATTGCCTGTTAAAATTAAGGAGGTGATTTAAGGGTTTACAGGCATTAGGCATGATCCGGTATGCGTTCTCTAGTCCATCTGGTCTTAAAACTTGTTCTAATAAGTGAGAAAGCTGCAAATATTTGGAATTCAAATATTTGAAATATTCAAATATTTCAAGTTCTATTACTCAGTAATTACTATATCTACAAACTTAGTAGACTATATTTCCATTACTTATCACGAGCTTAACTGAATTTGAACACAACACATCTATATATTTTTAAGTCACTACCACAGGTAAAACTCAGTTCTTAGCAAGGAAAGAACGATTAGAATCAAAAGATCAGAAATACACCGTACATACCTGAGTGGCTTCTATGTTGATAACTTTGTAAGATAACTCCTCTGGTCTAGTCAATGCTGCGTGCCTTGATTGAAAACATGAAAAAAGTGCTTAATCTCACGATGACATACCAGTAAGTGATGAAAACAGAATCAGATTCATGAGGCTGCTGTGGACATGAAGTTTAGACAACTTTGCTATTTTTACTAGGCAAATTAATACATTAATCCCAGTTTGCAGTCTTATCCCTGTCTTGGATTTCTTATGCTAGCTGTAGAACAGTGAGAGTCTCTCTTTAGTTGCAAATAAAACAAATCTGCAAAAATTTCTGCAAAAAAAATTCTGCAGAAATCAAATAATGAAATGTCTCATTACCCTTTTGCTCCCTGCTAGGAAGCAGCTAAGGTAGTCAAGCCTGTTAGGCTTATCACCACTGATCAATTGTTAAGATATGTATATTTCAGGAGATAAGTATGTATTCATTTGGGGGATGGGAGAGCTAAAGCAGCTGAAGGGATGTACGTTGTTTCAGTTCTGTGTGACAGGACCTAAGCACAGATGGTCACAGACTGGTGATCTGCCAGTCTCACTTCAAGGGACAAGCAGTCCCAAGGACAAGAGCTTGCATCACAAGTGAAACACCAGTAACGCAAATGCGTCTCCTTGCTGGTAGTCCCAAAAAAAAGGTCAAGCCAGGGAAACTGCTGTTCCTTGTGTTCCTTCAGGGACTATCTGCACCAGGATAAGGAGATACTACAAAGACTGCTTATTCTGTCCCTAAGGCTGTTAAGGCTCAGCTTCAGTCTCCAGGACTGTCCACATGGGACTAAATCACAAACCCCAACCAAGCACAACTCGAGCATACTCTTCCTCCTCGTCTGTCGTGAACAAGTTTAGTCGAAATCCTGTCTCATTGCCACCAGGTTTCTTGATCTCCAGAACTCCTATTAGCCTGGCCAAAAAGTTCATCTCTTCTTTGGCAAGAGGATTAGGGGCTGTATTCTCCTGTAAAAAACAGTAATGGGTTAAATGGCCAGATTAACAGGAAAATGAGGACTGCAATAGTTTGGTCATTTCTCATATTAGATAAATATTTTTCAAAGTGATGTAAATATATTTCTGTATTTTTAATGGTGGAGATAGTGCAGGTAAGTCATAATTATATCAGTTACACATTTAAAATGGTTGGTTGAATTTATAGACTGAGAACACTGACCTTTGCATGGGATGCCAAGCTTTTGGATGATCCTGCCATGTGTGTCTCTACTGGCCGGCTAACACTGTACCTAGTGAGAAAAAATATACAAGGAAGAGCTCCCCATTAGCTGCATTGATAGTGGAATAGAATGGAGCAACAGGATCCGAATGTGGTTTAGCAATATTTTTCTGAAGAAAAAGTAAAAGTTTTGATTCAGTTTTATGGAATATTGATGCATTAAAATGTGCAAGTGACGAAACTATAAGAACGAACGCTGCTGTCTCTTGCTCTGTGAATGGAAAAAATTACGTCAGACAAACAGGAAAAAAAAAGCATCCCTTGAATGCAGTTAACATGAAATCACATTCCAGAGAATATGCAGTACCAGATGAGAACACTCTTTGCTCAGCTCTACTCTAGACATGAATTAAACTGTGACTGTCTTTATTTATACACATCTATTGCTAGGTATGTTTTGTTTCAGAAGATCATTCTGTGAAAGAGTCAAGCTGATCATAGAGAAAGAGGCAAAAATAAGTAAACAAGGCTGATGCCGTCCTTCTGGACAAGCATATAGCCATCAGCATTTACTTTCACGTTTCTATGTAGGACAAAAGTGACTTACATATTTGTTCCAAGTTTAAGGACTCTGTCTCCATAAAGATCAAAAGATCCTTCCCTTTGTGGAGTAACATAATTTCCATCAGTGGTGAATTCAGTTCTTTTAACCTCATCTCCATTGTGATTAAACATCCTTAAAAACAAGTCGTTATTGAAACATGTTTAGTAGTAAATTTCAGTACTGACTTGCTTTGTTTGTTTTACAAGAAAGGGGAATAAAACTCTGTTCTGTAAATTGATGGGAGCCTATTTTAAAGGATAAATAACATCTAAGTATCTGAAATAGGGGATGACAAAAACATGCTTAATGTTTCATTACTGGGCGACTCAGTTCCAGATCCTGCCCTATATATAATACTTATTAGATGTTCAGATATCCATGCACCGTAAGTGACAGTCTAGGCATGATTCTTATTAGACATCGGGGACTAACTGTTCCTTCGTGAGCAGCCATGCATGCAAGGCGCTACAAACTTCATAAACAATGGTTCAAAATGTACCTGATGAGTCCTGGAATTTCTGTACCCCATGGAACAGGGCCCGATATTGGCAGCACAAAGCGGCCATTGGAATTTTGTACTTTATCCTTCAGAAAGATGGAGACCTGCAAAAGAATATTCCACCCACAAGAACGTCAGTTAAGTATCTTCTGATGCAAGTTCTCGGAAGTCTGACCTTGCAGCTTTTCTGCCTAGGCATGGATTGGATTCTTAGAGATTTTGATGTATATAAAGATTATGTATGACTAGCTTTGGCCTGTGTTATAACTGTGGTCCAGAGGATGGGCATACTGATCTAACATTTAAAAAAAAAAAAAAAAGAAAAAGAAAGTACAGTGTTTATGTATTTGAATACGATCCATTTGTTTAAAGAATGTCCAGCTGCCTGACTTCAAGCAGTGTGGACCACTGTAGTAGAGATGCTCAATTTGTGAAATTTTGAAGATGAATATCACAAGCACATAAAGATGACTGAAAAGCATAAGTAACAAAACCAATCTTATAACGTAATTTTAACAAGATACCTTGATATTCTAGCCACAGAATCAAACTCCTCCTGCTCTTACCGACTAGTTATATTGGACTCTTACCCTTATGTGCATGTCCTGAAAAAAAATGAGGAGCGTTTGCCTGATCAGCTGAAATTCACCAGCAGAGAGACAGCTGTAAATCTAGAAGAGAAAAACCATAATGTAAGGTTTTGCAAGTGTACTGTGTCCAATCCAGTTAAAGGTAGAAACAAGTACATCAGATTACTGCTGGCCAAAAATGGTATGTGTATGTCAGGAGAAGAGGAAATAATGTAAGGGGCACTGCTAGACATTATCAGTAGTTAACACCAGTGACTAAGAGCCCAATTTAATTTCTGCTTAAGTCAGTGGAAACTTTGATCAGGTTAAATAGGCAATGAAAAAAAACAGCAGGAAAATAACAATTGAATTGTAGACATCTCCATCTCCAGAAGCACTTGGGACACATTTCATGATTTCTCAGCACTTTTAACAGTTTACGCAACCAGTTCCCTTTCACTGGGACACTCGTATTCTTCGTCCAAAGAATTACAGCAGCTACATTAGAAAATGCTATCAACTAGGAGGCCATTTTATTTCCCTGAGCTTCAAAAAGAGGAAGATTATTTGGATGGTTCTCCGAGACAAATTTGAAGTGATTTTTTTTTTAAATGAAGTGATATTAAGCCTCTAGAACTAGCCTGAAAAAAATCCTGAATACCAGTTGCTTCCACAGTTTAACCTAGAATTCTTACTTCAATCAGCTGCCGGAACGTTTCATCCACCTGGTTAAGAATGCTAGGGGCATCTCGTACGAAATCTTTGATAGCGTCCAGATGATTGAAAGTGACTAGCAGTATGTCCTTGGGCCGAGGACACAGCAGAACTTGGTATTTGAAAGCCATAGTCATAAGGTCATAAAGCTGCAAAGTAACACAGGTGAAATTTCGGTTACATCACAACACAGATGGCAACGTCACTTAGATTAGTTTCATGTTGATGCAGAAAAGAACATAGATACTTATGCTAGCACCTGGTCACGATAAGGAGAATCATTTTAGCTTGGTTTCTTAAGAAAACTAGACCTATGCAATCACATTGTGTGCCCTTCTGTTGGTGTCACCAGTAGTCATTAAAACTACTGCCAATTTCAAAAACATCCGACACAGTGGTAGAGGTCTCACAGGTAATTAAGTTCCTACAGATTTTTGAAAACGCACAGCTGGATATACTGTTTGCAGGCACAAATTCAAACACCTGCAAAACTGTGGGTGTCAATACAGAAATATATAGATATGTTTATATAGACACACATATTCCTAGGTTCTTTAACATAAAAATTCCAGTAAATTCAAAGAATGCTTAATTAACCACTTGAAATTAAACATTTAGATATTAAAGCAGAAATAGGGAGTTTTGAGTCGATGTCCCGAAATATCTGGTACTACCGTGGACTTCCCTGTGGTTTCCTATGCTTAGAACCATTTCTACAAAGAAAACAAATGGAAGAAGGTTTGTTATAAAATACCTCAAAGATTACAGTGATGTAAAGCCATGTACTAATTACCACAATCGAGAATTTGTGAACAGCAGCATTTAAGAAAGTATAGCATAATAAGAACTAGGAAGACAGTCTTTTTACCTTATCCATGCTTGCCTGATTCAGTCTCATGATTGAGGCATGAGCTAGCCGGTCATACACAGTTCTCAGAGCTTTCTTGGAATAGAGTTCTTGTGGTTTAAACAGCTCTTCCATAAATTTTTTATTGAACATAGTTGTGATGATGTCATTCATAACTGAAAAGACAAAAAGTCTGTAATTTTTTTTCCCCTCAGAGCATTCATCTCTTTCATTTCACACGGAGAACTTGGGACAATGACAGTTGTGAGGATTCACATCAAGTCTTACCTGTGCAAACCACGTACATAGTCACAAAAGAAAAAAAGAAGGAAAAACATCACTCTAGTTTCAACATATTTCACCCAGTCCAACACTGGTCTAAGCCAGCAGCACAATCTCTGCTGGCTGTCCCTAGAGGCAGTTATTTGGCATGTAGACAACAAACCCTATTTTCCAGTGGGAATCCAAGACTATTTTTGTTGCCTTGGTTTTACAGCAATGGCTAGCACTTTCCCCTTTTTACACAGTTTTGTTTGTAGGCAATTCCAGTATGCATCTATAAGAGATTAAGTTCTGCTTCCCAAGAATACTGTTTTGCATCAGCTCTAGATTTTTACAAACTAGAGCTAGCTGACTCTCCCTCTTCTCTTTTCAGCCACTGACACTATTAGTCTATTTTTTCCTTCTAAACAGAAGCCTCTTGAATTATTTAAGGCTCCTTGAAGTATTCGTGTTAAACAGATTAAGACTGGCAAGTATTTAAGGAAGCATTTCTAACCCTGGGATCTGTGGAAGGCAATCCAGGGCTCTTACACAGTAACATCTGAGGATACTAGAGCAGTTCAAAGGCTTACAGCTCTATCTAAACTTCCGTAACAGTCCTTGATTTTGTATATGTAAATTTAGACACAAATTGCTATGTGACTTATTCAAGAATATGCAAAGATCAGCAGTACTGAATATGAGGGCTATGCTCTAGTTACCAAGCTTTTAACAAAAATAAGATAGAAAACATTTTGCAGTGATTCAAGCAGATAGAGCTTCTTAGCTTTTGTGCTGGTTTTGATATTTTCTCTACTGAATACCTGATACATTCTACAGGGTTACCATAAAAAAAATTCTTTACTCCGAAAATATTGAGTTAGAATTTACAGTGCAGTTAACATAGATTATTGTACAAGGATGAATCTCCCTAAGCGGATGACTGTTACCGAAGTTCATAAGGCTAAGTAATTCCTAAGGATTAGAAAAATCTTAGGGCAGTAATAAAAATAAGAGTGAACAAATGCTTAGTGGTTATGATTAGCTATGTGAAATACTGTTATAGTTATTTATTGATGGTTTTAGTTACCTGGCTTTTCACAATTGTGGTACTGAAGCTTCACAAACAGCCAAAAGAAAGTTAACGTAGCAGGCACTTCATCTTTTCTTAGATGATTAACTCCCTAGCGGATATTGCTACGTGTGCTCTAGACACTGGGAACCTGGATACTGACAGTTCAGTTTTCCACAGGGCAACTACCTCCTGAGGCAATTTTCTCTCTCCTTACTTAAAGCTGATGTTTACAGGTTCTCTTCTACACGTGTCATGTCACTGGTGACATACGCATTTCAACTTCTAGTGCATTGTAACATAACCTGGCTCACTATTTCCTCTTTTAAGTTCTCCAACCATTCAACAAGGTCTTAGCTGAGCTCACTTTCTGAGCAGTATGGATACAAATCCACCTAACTACCCACGGAAAGAAAAATCCCTCCTCTTCCTCCCTTCTTTTCAAATACACCGTCCACAAAAAATTCTCTACTTTTTTTTCAGTCTGAGGCACAAATCCCCAACTTGTTGCAGTATATTGAACATTTGTTTGCATACTGCCTGCTATATTAGAGTAGAGAAGATCAGATGTAATGTATTAGTACATATTTCTTTTTAAAAGTAATAAATTATGAACAAAATATGAATTTTTGCCTTTACTGCTATCAAGAAAAATATTCTTCAGTTGTATGCATATGTTGTCTGATAATGACACAGTAAACAGATCTTAAGAGCAGAGGTAATCCCTAAGGAAGTATTTACAACATTCTAACAATGGAAGATAACAAAGAAAGGAGTGTTAGCTCAAGGAAAATGGCACGCCAGGCAACGCAGCATAAAAGCAATTTAGCAGAGAGGGATTTTATCAACTGGGATGAGGAGAGGGGATCCAAGTACGTACAGTGAGATGGACAAAAGAGAACCTAAGGACTTACAGTGGTTTTTGCCTACATGTGTCATGTCACTGATGACATACACCTTTCAGCTTCTAATGCGCCGTAACATAACATGGCTCATATGCATGGCATGGGTCTGGAGTCTTTATGCCTGGATTATGCTCATGCTTCTAGATTACATTCAAGGCAGCAAAGGGAATGTTAAAAGTCTGAAACAGTTCGACATTCCACTTGCAATAGGTTTCTAAAAGAAATAAAAGCCCAAGTTTGTTCCTAACTGCTGACAGCCATAATTGCAATTGACCCCATCTGCAAAAAATAAAGATGTACACATTCATACTGCACTCCCTGAATTAAAATAACTAATTACTGCTTCAGGTTTCAGAGTCTCTCATTATATTTTTCACACTTTCATCATGTATTTACTTCATTTAGTTGTTATGTTAAACATTTATTTTTAATATAAAAATAGCTCATAAAGTCAAAGCCAGGCAAAGCCCAATCGTCTTTTTTTTTTTTTTTTTTAAATCAGCTACAGAATCACGTCATTACTTTATAGGAACTTTTTGAGATCATGGCTTTTAGGAGCAGTATTCAAAGACAGACATTATTTTCTCTCACAAGACAAGCTGACTGGTCAACATGAAATCTGTACCGTGTCTTTACCATCTAAACGTGGAAATTCTCATAGAACTCATCATCATTTTGGATGCACTAAAACAGAAGGCTATGGAATCGTCTAAATTTCTGAGATACTAAACAGCAGAAAACAAAATATTGAAAATAAGTAAAAACAACAGAAAAAGGCAAGGCAAACTCCAAGATCATTACTTACCTTCAGCAAACATTCAAAACCTACAAAAGACTCTTATTATGAAAAACATGAATCATAACCTCCATCTCACTTAAAAGAGAGCTCCTCAAAGAGACACTAAGTTCTACTCATGTCCACCTAGCCAAAAATCCTGTGGTAGTTTAAGAGATTTATTCCCTCATATAGTCACTTATCACACACCTCTTTGCTAGAGGTTACTATTTCATAGCAGAGACTAGAAGGAAATGCCTACTCACACCTTAGCTTCTAATTTCACCTAATTTAAGGCAAGATGCCATGCTGATGAGCGCAGCTGAAGTGTGGGCACCTGCTCCTTTGTCATCACTCTGCTGCAAGGGTGGTGACCACTGGCAGAGAAATGGGTAAGCAGCTAGGACAGCAGTGTCTTAAAACTTCTCTGGAGTTCACCTGTCGAAACCCTAAACACTCAATTAGAAATACCCTTAGAGAAATGCAGCATACCTGATATTCCTGCAATTAAGCAAGAAAACAACATTCACGTTGCTCCTCACACAATCATATGCTTGCATTCATTTCCTGTTAGCAAAACATTAGTACTAATTTTGGCTAGAAAGACCACTCTGATAGTAGGTTATGACCTATTTATATATATGGTCGTGATCAAATTAACAAAGAGGTTATTCTAGAAGCCACATGATTTAGAGGTATTTTCTATTTTTCTGAAGATCAAAGGTTAGTAAAGTGTATTTTAAAGAATAAACAGGTGAAGAATATTATCTATCTTTGACACTATCGTTAGAAGGCTGCAGAAACAGCACACAATGTGTTCATGTACAATGAGCCTCATGTGTGTGCATGTATTTGCGTTTGTCTACTGCATGCAGCTAAAAGATTACAGTACCTCGTTTCCTGTCCACATCTGTCCATTCATCTACACGAAGCATATAAAACAAAAACATTGGTTCAAGAAATAAGAACAATAGTTTCAAGAAAAATAAAAGAAAGAAACTAAAAAATCCCCAACAACGTAATGGGCATTGTTCTTCTTATCAGCATTCAGTGCTTAACAAGAAATAACTGTTCTGTTACTTGACATCTTCTACTTTCAATGAAAATACAAAGATGAACCCCTGCCCTCCCCTTGGAAAAAAATCTTGTTGCTTCAGTGGAGCTAAAATTTTACCCCTGATAGAAGCTTAACATATTTTACATCTAGCTTGGAAAGTCTTCTGCACAACCACATTTGCTGTTCACTTGCAAATGAACAATATTTGAGTGAACAGTTTTAAGAACTGCCACCTCAATGTAGATGAAAGCACATCAAAGTAAAAATACCTGGCAGTTTTTTTGAAAAACAAAATACATGTATAGAAAAACTAATACACATCTAATTCTCCTGTAGAGATATTCCAGAATATATAAGTAATTTAATTTAAGCTATAATCTTAGAATTATACAAATAGCTGCTCAGCAAGTAAACTGTCAGATCATTTGTTTAAGACATAACATGAATAATTAGAAATTGCACTGCTGTAATAAAACCTTTACTATTGTTTAGCTCTTTTTGTCATACTGGTTAGATAGCAAGAAAAAAAATATAACAACATCTTCAACACTGAGTTAATATTGAGCTGATTTTTATTACAAACTATTAAAGCTTTCTCAACTGCATTCCCCGTAACAGGGGATAGGTAGCAAAAAGTTTCTAAATGCAAAGCTCTTTTAATTTAAAAGTGCTAAACAGAGAGATGCTTTAACTTTAAAGACTGGAATTTTTGTGCATGCATAGGAATAAAAGGGATCTGCTTTTACAACGGCTTTGACAAAATGCTAGACAGATAGAGATTTTTACTAAAGTTGGAGAAGGGTCTCGGGGCCATCTTTATTTTACTCAAACTGTTTCTCAATTGTGCATGTTTTTTCCTTAAAGCCCTTTAAAAATAAAAAGAGAGCGAGAGAGAGAGAGGGAAAAAAAAAAGAAAAAGAAAAGAAACCACTCCTGACTGCAAAGAAGAAAAAACTAGTCTTCCTGAAACAGCTTAGGACCTGGATTGAGAAGATCACCTTTTGAGTTACTTTGTTTCCAAAAGCATCAACCTCTGAAACAAGTATGGAAATACTGAAGTTTATTTTAATTTCTATCGTACTGGTACACACTTCACAAGTTATTGTTTTTTTCAGCTACAGCCATCTGTTCAAACTTTTTGAGTAAGTTTACCAATCTTTAGCTTATATGGCACAACGATGATTTTCTTGAAGAGGTGAATAAAAGTTATATTTGTAGCTTCGAGCAGTCATTATTGAAGAAACTTCACGGAAGGTGTTTAACAGGTTTTGCTTCAAATTTATGACAAGAAAAACATGTCATCAGCTACTGTGATGCAGGTGTTAAACTCTGGTAATGGAATTACTTGGCCAAGACCTTGGACAACAGACACTGTGAAGTTCTATTACCTTTGAAGTATCCTTCCAATAACAGTAAGTATATGAGATACAGGAATAAATGTGAATAAGTGAATCATCACCAAAAAGTGACCACATGCTCACAGTTTATTAACAAACAACAAATCTCTCCGCAGCATCATAGAAACTGATTGTATTTCAGCAAAAGCCTCTAACAGCTGGTCTTAAGTAGTGAAGCAAATGCACCTTCTGACAAAGAAATAAACAAAGACAGTAATTAACTTGCTGTTGTAATGGAACTATCATTAGTAGTTGCTCTAAATATCCATCTTCTAATTGGGGGGGATCATCTCAAATTTGCTACTTGACGCCCACTTTCCTTGGCTTCGCTTCAGGTTGACCAGGAGCAAAGACGGCCCAAATCAGAGCCACGAAGACACGGCTCGACGCCCCCAGAGCCACGCAGCGCGACATGCCGGCGCTCCGCCGGGCTGCTGGAAGGCAGGTTTTCCCTCTTCCGCAGCGACACCGCGATTCATCGCCCAGCGCGACGCGTCCTGCTCTTGCGGGGCTCCGCGCCCCCGCCCGCCCCTGCACCGCGGCCTCGCGCAGATCCCGCCCCTCCAGACGAACGCTGCGGCGGCGCG